AGCGATAATTTGTAATTTCACATGTGAAATTACAAAATTGCCATGGCAACCTTCCGTACTTCTCAGTGTCAAGATGGCGAGTAATGAGGATGCCAGGGCATAAAAAGACGCTTTAGAAAACCTACACACACGAAAGAGCACATCAAGAAGGACTCTAACAGGTATTTTGTCGAAAAATTCTGAAGTTAAGCCAAATTTAAGCTCTAAACGTTCGAGAGAGGGGAGTTCTCCATCGATGCGATCCAGGATAAACATGTCAAAAATCCAAGATTGCTAAGTGAACGTAATTCGTCACCCATGATATTAATAGGTAATCAAATATTAATGGTATACTCGTGAAATTAGGGAACAGTTTCACTTGCGTTTTGTCCAAATATAAGGATAATAAGGATTTTAGCCTGCAAAACAGGCGTATTTTGGAGCTCGATCTATGAATTGTTTTCAGGAATGACGTTGTCCCACCATCTTGGACGTCAAATAAATACTACCAGAGAGTTGGGACGTGTCAAAAACTGATTTTAAGGGAGAGTTTGATGGGTTTAAAATAGCGGAGGGGGAGGGGGAAGGGAGGAAAAAACTCTCCTCTCGCCTCCACCCTCCCCCTTCCACCGCCCCTCCCCCTTAGTCTTTTCCGTTGCTGTTCAAGACAGCGGCCACGATCAATGTAGCTCCGAGTTTTCGTTAAAAAACGCCTGCTCTGCAGGCTATAAGGATTTGGACAAAACACGCGTGAAGTTATTCCCTAATTTCACTTGTCACCATTTGATTACACTTAATAATTTGACTTTGTTTCGCCCGTATTAAGTTTGGAAGTATTATGAGTGGTTTTCGGAAGTTTTGTGATTGCCGCGAAAGTCATTTATTGTGTGATTTACCGAAAGTGTTGACAGACTAATCTCAGGTACGTGCGGTTGAGCTCGTGTTACCGCAATACTTTGTGCCAAGCATAAAAACGCTTCGTGAGTGTTTAGTTTAGGTGATTTTGTCTTTGAAAGCCTATTCTGTGCTCAAAGATTGTGCATTCTTGATCTGTTTTCGGCCGACACTGAGCCATGGGCCTAATCATTAGTAATTAAAATTCAAGGGTAGCCTTGGTTCTCGCGACACACTTCTCAGAAAGGCTTCTCAGTGAATTATGGCCTAGTCATGTTAATAATTGTTGGGCTGCCCGTGAGGGCAACGCCCAATCAAGAAATAGCTTCCATATATGTCGAAAAAAAAGAAAAAAAAAAAAAACCGCGGACGGAACTCCCACGGGTTATTTCAGGTCGTCTGGGTGAACAGACTTAGAAGTCTATTTGGAACGAACACAAAATAATTACGTGGAGTTGTTGGACTTATATCTACGTCGAATGCCTTATCTAAATACATTATTCGATGAGGTAGTTAGCCTGCAAGGGAGCGGCAGAAACAATTCCCTCCCAGGGTCCCACGGAAAAAGCTTCAACTTGTCGCAATTCTCTCCCTGCGTGTGAAAAAGGCTTTCCTTACAATAAAGGAATGTGCTATTTGTAGATTGCTCGTCAAATTGATAGCGGAGCTCCACGCGCACGCTTCGCGCGCGTGTGGGCGGAGTCCCATAGTCCCGAGAGACCGTCCGTCTGCACTACAGGAAAACCAATGTTTACTTTCACACTTTCTAACTTCTTTTGGGAGCCCAAGAGAAAACTGGTTTAACATCAATGTTGTGATCTATTGAAGGCTGTCGAAACAAGGTATCCGCTGACTAGTATCACCTGACCGTATCGCTGGCTCAGGTGTCCACCCATCGAGGTCGAGTACTTTTTGAAGTTATCCGCTGAAAAGTTACTAGTTTTCAAATGATCGCAGGCTCGAGTTTATATTTTTAAAAAATTCATATGAAATATGTTGTGTATACGTCACTATGGCCCCGCGCTATTAAGATTTTGATTTCAATCTAACCTTGTACGCGAAAATTGAGCCGGTTATTAAGAAATACAGGCGGGGAAGACCTTTTCTTACCAAGATCACGCGTTGGTCACGCTTTACGTCCAATTTTTATGCTCTGATAGGTCAAACTTGACAAGTGAGTTCATGCGGAAAACTTGAAACCCGTTCACTGAAGCTGACAGACTTTGCCCTGGATGTACAAAATGAAATACAGCTGCTATCAAGAGTCTTCTGTTATTCATGGCTAGTTTGTTTATCGGTTTTTTGGTTGAGAGATGCGTCGCTTGTCAAAGTCCGAAATCCGATTTCGGATGGCGTCGTTTTCGTTTTTCACATTGCTTGATGCATAAAAGAGGGTTCAAAAGTCTCAAGCGATTCCGGCCTTACTTGATAGCTTTCAGGAGCTGCATCTCGAATGGTAAGCCTGAGTAATTATTGTATTTGATGTTTTTTTTTAATATCTAATAATAATAAATAATAATGTTTATTTCTTATATTGCGCAGTCTAGCATGCGATAAAGATATGATTGAATGCGCATTACAACACTAAAATCTTAAAGTAATAAATGGCTAATCCCAATAATGATATTAATAATAATAACTTACAATTTTCGGAAAACAATATAAGTGAAATATGAGTTAATAAAAGAACTAATAAAAAGCTAATTTAAAAAGATGTGTCTTTAGTAAAACTTTAAAAATGTTCAATGATTGACATTGTCTAATTTCTAGAGGGAGTCGATTCCAGACTTTGGGCACAGCATTTTCAAACGCCCTATCCCCGAGTGTCTTTTTTGTTCTATAGGTATTGTCCATTAGGAGTATGCCTCGGTATGATCTCAACTGATACCGCGAGCTCTCTTTGATTTTTATCAAGTCTATTGTGATGCGACGCCGTAAATACATTTTTGAACTAGCATTGCTACCTTGAATTCTATTCTGTGGGTAACCGGAAGCCAGTGCAGGTTGATCAGGGATGGTGTGATAGGATCATACCTAGATATAGTACATACCAGCCCAGCTGCTGCGTTCTGCAGGCGTTGCAGCTTACCAAGATGAACAGCGGGCGTACCATATAATAGACCGTTACAATAGTCTTATCGTGACATTATAATAGCCTGCACAATGGACTTCCTATTGTCATATGATAAATACTTTCTAATACGCCGGATGTTATGTGGATGGTAATAAATATCCTGACATATGCTGTTTATATGTGTGGTCATATTCATGTTTGCATCAAACCAAGCACCCAGATTTCTAACAGAGTAAACAGCAGAAACCTTTACCTCACCTACTTGCAAGTCACTTATCGTAACCTTCTTTAACTGTGCGCGTGTACCTATAATAAGAAACTCGGTATTAGCATCGTTCAGCCGAAGTTTGTCTTGGACCATCCAGGTTCTTATGTCCCTGATGCAAGCTTGCAAAGCGTCAACAGCATCCGTCTCAGTAGCAGAACCATCCGGCTTAAATGAGATATAGAGCTGCGTATCATCAGCGTATGCGTGAACGTTAGGGAGATGGGATTCAACAACATTGAAGAGCTTACTTGCGTACAACGTGAAGAACAAGGGACCAAGACATGATCCTTGAGGTACCCCTTGAGGCAGATCAAAGTCACTCGAATAGCTCCCGTTAATCAGGATTCGCTGTTTCCTGTTTGATAAATACGAGTGAAACCATTTAAGAGCGGTACCTGTAATTCCATACGTCACGTATAGGCGATTCAACAACACTTGGTGGTCAATCGTGTCGAATGCTGCACTCAGGTCTAGCAATACCAAGAGAGTAACTCGTTGATTGTCCATTGCAGCTAGTATGTCATTCTGTATCTTCAATAGGGCAGTCTCTGTGCTATGACCAAGTCGATAGGCTGACTGGAGGATGGGATATAAGCCCGACTGAGTAACGTGATCGGTTGTCTGATCATAAACTGCCCTTTCAACCAATTTAGAGAGGTTTTGCAGATTACTCACAGGTCATAAATTGGATAAGGAAGTCCCTTGCTTGGTCTTCTTCAGTCTTGGATCCACAAGGGCCGTTTTCCAATCAGATGGAAAGTGTCCCAAGGAAAGTGAAGAATTCACGACACTAGTGATGATGGGGAGAAGCATATCGGACATGCCGACTACTAAATTGGTCGGCATAGGATCAAGTTGACAGCTTTTCTTCGATGATCTACTGACCAGCTTCCTTATATCTTCCACAGAGTACGTATTGAAATGATCAAGTTTCGTATCGCCTGTAAACACTTTATCCTCAGCCACCGCCCCGGGATGAAGAGTACACGCATCAAGCTCTGCCCGAATCTTTGCAATCTTACGGTCGAAAAAACCGCCCGATATCGTTGGCTAAGACTGAGTTGTCCGTGTATTCTGGAAAACACAACTCATTCCTCGGAAGCAGCAATGATCGAGTGGCCCTGAATAGCTTTCCTTGGTCTTCACTATTGTCGTTCACAAAGTCTGAGTAGAAAGCACGCTTAGCCCGTGGTTCTTGAGTTTCTTGAATGCCAACAAATCTTCCTGTGATCGTGTTCTTCTCCATCTCCGTTCTGCTTTCCGGCGTCGCCTTTTTGCCTCAGCTATCTCACTGGTATACCAGGGTACCTTGGGCCTAGCCCGCACTGTTTTGGTTTTTAAAGGTGCGTGACGATCAAGAACTTGAGAGAGTGTGGTCGTGTAATCCTCTACAAGTACATCCAAGTCCAGTGGGGTGATGGGATCGCTATGACCTCGATCACATAGCCCTGTAAGTACTACATCGTTCGATAGGCTCTCAGCGTCCAAGGATTTAGTTTTCCTAAACTTTATTATCCTAGTCTGAAATGAAGGCTTACTTATGGCAACATCACAATGTACAGCTGCATGATCGGAGAAATAGCGACAGGCGCGTGGTGGACTCGCCAGAACATCCTCAATCTTTCTTGTTATAACAAGATCCAGGGTGTGACCACGTATGTGCGTTGGCTCTGTAACATACTGCTCCAAACCGAGAGACTCAAGCAGATCTAAAAACTTAAGTGCATCAGTGTCATTAGGAACATCCACATGTATGTTGTAATCAACAACGACAGTCAAAGGCTCTTTGGATAGAATAGTGGACTCCATCACGTCAGAAAACTCCATCAGAAAAGTGTTAATGGGAACCCTGCTGTGGTCATCAGAATTCTGTGGACGGTAGACGATCACAAGCCGTATCTTGCGGGAAGTCGACGTTTGGACCAACAACTCGCAAAATTCAAGCGACTCTTGAATTCCATCTCGAGTCGTGCTGACACGAAGTGAATCCTTGTACAGTAGTCCAATGCCTAATTTCGTGAAGTCGAGCACCGTTTATGCGGCAAGTTTATGCACGTTTGTAAGATCTGAGACAATGATGTGACCTAGTATCAGGTTTGAGATAAGCTTACAGAACTTTAAAAAGCCTTTAGATATATTTTCTCAACGCAATTAGAAAGAAAACGTTTCGAAGAATAGTTAATTATAAATTTGGCTGTAGAAAGAAAACTTTGAGCGATTTTCTTGCCTCGAGTCATCTTTGAAAAAAAGCAAACACCGGGAGATCGGCTTCATAAAACGTAAACTTAAGCTTTAAGCTTTAAGACGCAGGAGTTTTAGAAACATTTTAATACTTGTCCTTGTGAATGTAAATTGTTGTCTCTGTAAATGTTTCACCGAATTATATTTCCTTTATTGATTTTTAGTAGTCTCTCTTGCAATTTTAATCGCTGTGCCGTTTGTTTTCAGTCGTTCATGAACATCGCTCGCAGGAGTACTCAAAATACCGCGCGTATCAAGCGCTTTTTAAGATTACACATCGTTACAAAACCATTCAATAAAAAAAATAAACATGATAAATTCTTTATTATGTCGAAGCGTAACTCTATTAATGTTCACTGCTAATTTGGCACTCGTCAAAAGTGAGAACCGGCTGGCCGTATAGGTGATTTTGGAAATTTTTTGAACGGTTTCGCTGGAAGCCCACGATTGATCGTCCTGAATATTGACTGATTGCAATTTGTCTTAAAAAATTGTGAAATACTGCATTCTGTCCGAGGTCTGTATGATAAATAGTACTGTTTCACCTAAGATGTGATGTATAAAAAGTATAAAAGGTTGGTTTACCACCGCCAGATTTGTTGGCAAGATTTCGTAAAGTAAACTTATCCAGGGTTCGCACAATCTTGAAAAGTCCTTGAATTTTCTTCAACTTTGGATTTAGTGGCATGGAGGTGTTTTTTGATGATTTTTGGTTGTCCAAGACAGAACATGAATCATAACCCCTAAGTCTTTGTAATCCATGCGTAATGAGCGTGCGTGGCCCCAACAATGCTGGAAGAGCTGTGCAAACGGATCCAGTATTGTTGCTCTACGCTTCGGCGATCACGGAACAAAGAAAATGTTGGGAGTTGTTGGCTGAAAAGTTTGACCGGTTTCAAACTTTGTGCAACAACCCGCAACAACATCCAACAACATGCAACAAGGTGTCCAAACGGACGCAATATGTAACATCCAACAATGTTGGGAGTTGTTGGCCAACAATGTTGCGTCCGTTTGCACGGGGCTTTAGAGCCTTATAAAAATAGACTGGAAATGTGCATTTTTGTACAATCTGTGAAATTATATTTCTAGTAGATGGTCCTTGAAAAGTCCTTGAAAAATGATTGCAATTATTTGTATGAACCCTGTTATCGAAAGCAAAAAATTCGGCCTGATTTGTTTTCCAGGCCTAGTCTACTGTGATCAAGAGCCATTACAGCTCTTGAATGTGATCGAAGATGATTGCTATTTTTTTGGGTGTACGAATAAGGCTATCAACTCGATGTAAGAAGTTCTGAAGAACTGGCTAGAAAAGCTTAGGATTATTTCAGCTCCAGGCCTTATTAAGTACAAATAAATATATATATATTTTTGCTCTTTCATAGCGGAGCTCCCGCGCGCGAAGCTCGCGCGCAGCGGAACACCATGGGTAAGAAAATTTGGTAAACTATCCATCCCAGAAAATTTGGTTATGACGTAGCGTACGCCCGCCCGTCCGTACACACACCTCATGTAAGCCGATGTCAAATGTCGCGATAGATCTTGCACAACTTGACTAGCCTCTTAGTTATGTAAACCATCCGTATGAGTACGATTAGATTGACAGCTGTCAAAATCAGACATCCGCTGACAATTATCACATGACCGTCTCGCGGGCTCAGATGAAAGACCAGTTGTTTTGCCCCTATATATAAGCTGATATAATATGTCAAACTTACCAATTCAACATAAAAACGAAACTACGCCGGGCAAGGCTGTCAGTTGGCTGACAGTGGTTTAAAGTTACATTGGCAAGCCAAATTAAGGTTAATTGACAGCTGTCAAAATGGGACATGTGCAGACCACTATCAGAAAACTAATAAAGAGGGCTCAGGTTCTCTCAGGTACACGATCTGGCATTTTCCAATACATGCCGGACGGAAATATCCTACTCACACTCGTAGTCTGTTAATTCGAATATTCGCCATTCTAATGAAGGTTAATTGACAGCTGTCAAACTAGAGTATACGCTGACCATCATCAGCTGAGTGGATCGCGGGCTCATTTTTCTATCTATTGAGGTCACGTAGTGTTTAAAGTTTTGCGCTGATATTTTATTTGATCACGGGCTCAATTCGAAGCCCTATAGCTTTATAGAAAATCTATCCATCTTAGAAAATTCGGCAATCACGTGACCGTACACCGACCACCCGACCTTCCGTCCGTCCGCACCACGGGCATACCAATGTTTAATCTCACACTTTCTAGCTAGTTTGGGAGCCTGCAACCTGATATTGTACATCCATGTTTTGATTAATTGACAGCTGTCAAAACAGTGTTTCTGCTGACCGGTATCGCCTGACCGTATCGCGGGCTCAGGTATCGACCCTCTGAGTTCGAGTAATATAAGTAAGTTGCTACTTTTCAAATGATCGCAGGCTCAAGTTCAATTTTTTTAAAATGCATATGAAATAAGTCGTGTATCATGAGCCGCACTTTTAAAATGTTGATTTCGAACTGATCTCGGACACGGAAATTCAACCGGCTTTTACATTTACATGCAGGGAAGGCAATCGCTTTTGACTTTTCTCACTGTCACGCGTTGATCTCGCTCTACGTCCAATTTTTATGTTCTGATTGGTCAAAATTTGACAGGTGAGTTTATGCGGAAAATTTATGCAGCGTCTGGAAACTTGCTTACTGGTAGCTGGAGCTGAGAGAGTTTTGTGTCATTTTGTGATGTTTTAAACTGTCTTTTTCTACTTGGTGTACAAAAATGAAATACAGCTGCTATCAAGATTGTTCTGTAATTCGTGGCTGGTTTGTTTATTGCGCTTTTTGTTGACAAATGCACCGCTTGTCAAAGTCATTGGAAATCCGATTTCGGATGGCTTCGTTTTCAAAAATGAGCTTACTCACTTGCCCTTGCTTGAGGCGTAAGAAGGTTGAAAAGTCTCAAGCGATTCTGGAACACTTGATGACCTTCAGAAGCAGCATCTCGACTGGTAAGCCTGAGCCATTATTGTTTTTGATGTGTGTTTTTTTCGGTTTCCTGAAGTCGAGCGTATGGTTTATGCGGCCTTATAAGTTAAAACACGAGCAATGATCTAACCTACAATAGTATCAGGTTTAAAAAGCCTTTAGACATTTTTTGACCCGCAAATTCAAAGAAAAGGTTCCGAAGATTATTTAGTTATGATTTTGGCTGTAAACAGAAAGCTCTGAGCGATTTTCTTGCCTCGAGTTCATCTTGAAAAAGAGCGAACACCGGGAAGCCGGCTTAAAACATAAATAAGCTTATGCTTGCCTGACTCATGATTTTCTGAGACACTTTACTCTCAATACTTCTCTTCGTGAATGAAAATTATTGTCTCTGTACATGTTTCACCGAATTAAACTTATTTTATTGATTGTTAGTAGTCCCTCTCGCAATTTTCATCGCTGCACCGGTTGTTTCCAGTCGAACATAAACATCGCATGTAGGAATACTCAAAACGCCGCGCGTAAATATCACTCGCTTTTAAAGATTACACATAACAAAATCATACACAGTTTAATGAATAAAGGGAAATAAAACCTAAACATAACAATTTCTCTATCATGTTGAAGCGTAAATGGTAACTCTATTAATCGCACTGCAAATTTGGTGCCTGTCAAAAGTGAGAACCCGTCCGGCTGGCCGAAAAGTGATTTTGGGAATTTTTTTTATCGTTTTCATTAAAAGCCCATAATTATTACCCCGCATATCACATAGGACCAGATTTTTCTAACAGAAAACGTTTTATAATTCAATGCTATAATTTGTTGTGCAAAGGAAGCGCGTGCTTTGATCGTCGTGGATATTGAATGAGTGCAAATTCTCTTGCAAAATTGTGAAAAACTGCAGAATTATAGGTTTAAATAGGGCAAAAAAGAACAAATTCTGTCCGAGGTCTGTGTACTGTTTACCTGAGACGTGATGAGAAAAAGTATGTTTAAAAGGCTGTTTTACACGCCACCAGATTCGTCGCTAAGATTTACTAGTAAACTAAACTTGTCGAACACAAAAAATCCGGCCTGATTTTTATTTTGGCCTCTCTTTTAGACAGAGGAATGCAACGTGTAAATTGGCTGCCACCAAGGACTATCGTCAGGCCCGTAACCAGGGGGGGTGCACGGGGTGCATTCGCACCCGCCCTTCCCCCCACAGGCCCCAAAGGTCCGCATTTTGATACTCAATATCCAAGTTAAGGAGTGCAGTCGGTTAAACTGAAGTTTCAAACTTAACAGTGATATTTAAACTAAATCAAAGAATGGAAAAAGTGGTAGTGTATTCACTGGGAAAATAAAACCAGCTGCACTCTAGTAGCCCAAGCCATTCAGAACATTTCAATGAGCGCACAGATGTCCCAGCGTATCGATATGAAAGATGAAATTAACGTGCGCACACTTTTCCACAGGCCAAATACAGCAGCCAAAGCTCTTAAGGAGTGCGATGATGATCTCTTTCCAAAGAGGGTCTAGAAGAGGGATAGGCGTAAAGCGGCCAAAAATTTAGTCGATGGCCGTAAAAATTGAAAAATTTTAACCGTTAGCCGTAAATAGGGTTAAAAAGAGTTAACCGTAAAACAAATTGTTTCCTAGATCTGTTTATTTTGAGGAAGGTGCTAAACTTGCTTATGGTTGCGTTTTTTATTTCCCGGCCGGCTACCTTTGACTCCGTACGGGCTTACGGTACTTTGCGAAACGAAACGAAACGAAACGAAATGGTACTTTGCGAAATGGTACTTTGCGAAACGGTGCTTTGCGAA